AATCCACTCCCCTTGAAAAGGGAAAAACTGAGGAAGGATCTTAGAGAAATTGCTTTGAATATCTGCAGTGTCTATTTTTCAAAAGCGCACACACATATATATTTTTTTTTTTATGTATATTTACATATATTTGTATATGCATGTGTGGAAATACATGTATGACCTGCGTGCTTATTAGACTCTGTATTTGGGCTATACATTGCAATTTGAGGAACGCCTTATTTTTCCTTTCTCTGGGCAGGTTGATGTTTTTTAAGCAGTTACGTATACATTTCTTTGTGTTTAGAAAGTATACTTACTCACCTGAAAAAGGTGTTGAGACAAGCGACCGTGTTCTGCGTGGTGGCTAACATTACTGAGAATACAAAACTGTTCAATTTCACTGCCTTTTTAACAAGTGGAACCTGTAGCCTGGACTCAGCTTCAATGGCAGGCTGCAACCCCTGCAAGTAATTGGGATGCAGCTGCTGCAAGAGCCTTTTTGGCGTAGCCTGATGTGCTCAAGAAGAGCAGCCTGGATGTGCTCTGATGAAATAACCAGGAAAGCACAGCAACACATCCCCTTTCAGACCCTTCGCAACCAGCATCGAAATGCTATTAAACATTCACCTCCTGGATTAAAGTTCTCTGCACGGCGCAAATCCTAAGAGGAAGTCAAAATCATAACTAAGCTGCTTTGTAGGAAACTGCTTCTCCAAATGGCTGGATGATAGCCCGGTTTTTACAGCTCTCTTTTGGAAATCATTTCAAAAGAACAGGGTGGCAGTAAGAAGGAAGAGTAAAGCCAATTTCACTGACATAATACACCGTCTATTCCACAAAACGTAAAATAATAAAGCTTGCAGTGAAAAAAAAAATAAATAAAAAAAATAGTACCCAAGAGCAGCTGAGGCAAACAGTAGAGGGGAAATGGGAGTTCATTCACACGACACAATTTTTGGTGCTTAATTTCAGCAAATAAATTATCTGGCGTGTCTCTCTGGGGTTTCTCTCCAGTTGAGAAAGAGGAGAGGGTCCGTCAGAGCTAAACTAACACCTCCCCCAGAACAAGTTCTCTCTCCCTATTGTGGAGGGAGTCCAGCAAGGCTGTCAGCTCACTTAGCCAGCCTTTTAGTCTTTTAAGTTAAGTGGTGTGAATAGTCTTCAAAATGCCTTTGGGTTCCCTTTACCCAAAGATTGAGGGAATGCTCCTTTTCATTCTCAGCCACAGGAATTAAACAATAAGATCAAAATCTTGTAATCTCCTTGGGAATTCCTTTTAGCTGTATGGGATCTAAAATGCTGGGTTTCCCCTAAATTGCTGGGCAAATGAAGGCAGAGGCTAATCATACAGCTGGCTTTCCATGCAAACGTTTCCAGTGCCTGGTGCAGTGCCATTTATTTGGGATCGGCTATGAAACAAATTTCTTAATTGTCTTTAATACCTATGCACAAGTTTAAATTAATTCAGCTGGTTCCTTATTGATCTTACGGTCTGTTTACAGGAAGAATAAGAGGATCCAGGACCAAAGCAAAATTTATTATTACCACTTCTGTCCTTTCATATTACGAAGTTGTGGAAAGGTTCATCCTATATAATAAAATCACTATAATAAATAAAATGGGTCTCTAAACAGGTAATTTTTAGTCTATAACTTTCAGTAAAAACAGCGTGAAAAAGATTTTTAACCTACAGCAGTATTATTCCCTCAGCCTCTGTACTCTGTGGAACACATTATAGTGAACAACCATGTGAAAACTGCCATCTTCATTCACCAAACCAATCTTCTAAAGCACATGTATCAGTACTGCAGGAATGTGCAAGGGAAGACACCCTAGATCTTCACTTAAAAAATGAGTTGCAAGTTTTAAATTTTAAATTTGCAACTGCCTTTCCCCTGTCAGAAAGCAATCCCCTGCAATTTCCTAATAGCAGCTTCAACACCAGAAGAAAAATACTTGCCAACTTCTGGGTGTGCTTGCTCTCCAGTGAAAGAGTCTGGATTTGCAGAGTTGCAGACAGGGACTTTGGATACAAGGGGGAAAAAGTCTCTGGGTAAAGTTCAGCCTATGATGCGGTTTGTTTTGCGTGCAGGAGGTTTCTTACAATATCAGTATCACAAACTGGAATTGCTTACAACTTCCCCTGCCTTTCCAACTTATTATTATTTTTTTTTCTACAACTTCCCCTGCCTTTCCAACTTTTGATTTTTTTTTTTTTTTTTCTTCCCTTGGACGTAGTTTTAATTGTGTATATCCCACATCTTGTTGCGGGGAGAAGAATGCTGGGTGTTTACTGTACCACTTACTGTACCGCCTTCGCTGTGGGAACTGTCACTGCAACAAAAGGTCTGAAGGGTTGGGAAGGCAACTTGCAGTCCTTCTGTCCACTTATGAAAATTGCTATGAATGCAAATTATCTCCAGCTTTATAGAAAGCATTTTCTGTTGAATACCAATAGTGCCTTCAGTAGTGAAAGGCATATCAAGTTATTCGCATGGGAAAGCTGGTCAAAGGGGAGGTCTTGATTTATTATGTTCAGTATCACTTTTGGGCTTTACCCTTAAACTAAGAAAGAAATCCATGGAATTCTGTTTGAAACTTTATGTGATCTACTCACGACGTGCTTTAGATTTGTTTAAAGATTTGCAAGCCTTTTGATGAGCTTCATCTACTTTCCAGGTGGCATCGTAGAATCGACTGTAATATTACCATTTGCTACGGAAAGCTTCCTGCAGCTCTATTAACAGGCTTCCCATGATGTAATTAGAAAGAGGGTGCAGTGTTTTCTTTGGCATCCATGGGCAAAATGCTGTGCATACTTACACTGCTCTAAACCCAGGGCAACTCAGTTCATTTTAATGAAGTTATTTTGGACTTGGTTCATGTGGAGTTTGGCTATACCTTTATCTATAGATGGATATCTTCCCTGAGGGGCAAATACAACAAAGGCTGTACATTTTCTTTAGATTTTGTGGAGGAAGACACTACTCTCAATATCAAGGAGGTTGCTACTATTCTGACCAAGGTAAACGCTGTGAAATCTCTTCATTCCAGATTTGGGTAGGTTTTCAGTTGTGGCCATAACTTGTTTGAACATGTGCAAGTGCTGAAGTCAGGGCCTTCAAGCCTGTCTTCTATGCCTCTTATTTCTCTCTGTTTGCTAATCTGTTATGAGAGGCTTTCATGGTTGGTAACCATTTTGGAGTCTGATGCCACATTTCTATTCCAAAACATTTATCTTCTCCTCATTTGAGCCACCCAAAGTCCCTGGTAGTAGTAAAAAGTAGTAAAAAGGTTGGTGTTAGTGCCAGTTTCTCTGTACCATTGCTCTAGGTAGATGACTTTGGACTGTGATACCAAACACAGGCACATTAGAATCACAGAATCATAGAATGGTTTGGGTTGGAAGGGACCTCAAAGATCATCCAGTTCCAACCCCCCTGCCCTGGGCAGGGACACCTCCCACCAGACCAGGTTGCTCCAAGCCCCATCCAGCCTGGCCTTGAACACTTCCAGGGATGGGACATCCACAACTTCCCTGGGCAACCAGTTCCAGTGTCTCACCACCCTCATAGTAAAAAATTTCTTCCTGAGATCTAATCCGAATCTTTTTTCTTCCAATTTAAAACCTTCCAATTTCTTCCAATTTAAAAATTTAAAAACATTCATTACTGTTTCTCACAAAACCTGCTTTGGACTTGGAATCTGCATATCTTTTCTCATCCAGAGAAGCCTGTACACAAACAGCCTTTGCATAAGACATTGTTGCCTTCCTTGGTTTTTTTCTAAATGAATAACAAACAAGAAGAAAGGGAACTAGAAGGGGGAAAAATTAAGTTTTAATGGAAACACATTTCATCTTTTGTTTTCTGCTTGCCATAAAACATTAACATAGTAAACAAATTGATCTTTGCTCTTAAATTCTTTAATAACATACAGTATTTTGAGTTTTGTCATGGCTAAGGTATAGTTAAACCATGTTGTGTTGCTGGTCGCATTCAAATCTCTATTGTCACAGTTCTTTGACATCAATCTACATTTTTTAAAATAAAAGTTGTGTGTAACCCACTTCCTTTCATAGACATCTTCATTACAAGGTCACCCTTTTTTGGGGGTGTTTCAGTAAATTAGTGGTAATTGTATTTTTCTGACAAAAACTGGGTTTTTTTGGGGACGTAGTACAAAGTCTATGCATTTCTGTGGTCAGCCCCTGCTTTGTGCCATAGAGTACCTTTCTGAATGCTGCACCCCCACACGAGCAAAGCTTTTATAGGATGCTCTGAAACGTTAGATTCTAGACAGCTAATCCAATAGGAGGACTGTTACCATGGTGTTACAGTAGCTGACAGAGCTATTTGAAATAGGAGTATGTAAAAAAAAAAAAAAAAGAGAAAGTGTCACTTTGGTCCACTTTTCAGAGTGGTTGGTGTTATAATATATAACCTTTTTTTTTTTTCGTTTTTAACGCAGTGTAGTTCACAATAATTTAAAATACTCTATAGACATTTGAACGATATACAATAATATAACTTAATTGGATTCCTCAATTGTACTTAACAAATACTATTCTAATATATTTACAGTATCTAGTACCATAAGACTGTGCATTACTGTGCTTGGGAGCTTTATTTGCTTCCTGTCAAGAATGTAGTGAAAATACAGCATATCACTATTATTCAACAGCAATACCCATGAATCGAAGGGACTTTAAATTACATGGAGTGACTCGAGCAATTTTGGGGGCCCCTGTTGACTTCTGTGGAGTTGCATTCATTCACGCCAAGGCTGAATTTGAATTTCTAGCTGGTAGGTAGAAACCAACAGCAGCAATGAAAAAAAAATGAGCTCTTCGATTTGGATTTCTCCATGGGAGACTCATCAAAGGGGTCAGATTTTCAGAGGGTAAGTGCTTGGGGTCAGAAAGGCAGGTCCTCACGAGTGTTCAAATGAAGGTCCCCCAGGTGATGAGCTACTTTTGATAACACAGGTCCATAAATTACAGAGGGGTCCCCCAGGTGATGAGCTACTTTTGATAATACAGGTCCATGAATTACAGAGGTGATCTTGGCTCATTTACATAACCAGCGTGGGAGCTGGTGGAGCAGTACCTCCACCAGCCCCTCGGCCCAAGAGTGCTGTGTGGTGTGGGAAGTGCTCCCATCTCTGGTGGGGAGCCCTCATGGCTGTGCATCCCCTCAGTAGAAATAATAAAATGAAAAAAAAAAAAGCTAGAAATGCGGATATGCAGAGCTTAGGAAATTTTTAATCCAAGTTTTCAGAAATTCAGGTAGGGACCCTTGCTGCTGCTGCGAGCAAACATTTATGTGATTAAATGTGCTATGTTAAAAGTGGACCTATCTAGCTCTTAGGGTTAAAATCACTAGATTTTACAGTAGTAAAATATCTGAGGATTTTTTAAATCTCTCATAGGGAAAAGGTGTGTGAATTAGAATTGAGCGCTGGTGTAAAAAGTCAGTTCCTTTCTTAACATTCATGTATTTCCCAGGGGGGTATATCATTGTCAACCTTAGAATAATGACGACACAGACTAACCCAAATTTTCTCTTTCCTGTGCTTGTGAAGACACCCCAGCTCACAGGATGCAGCAGCCTAGAGCTCAGCTAACACGTTTTTATTAACTTCTCAGTTCATACCGAGCATAAGTTATTTAAAACTATTGGTAATAGCAACTTTCAACCATTAAAGGCAAAATGCAACGCTTGGAAGATCCTGCCAGTGCATTTGATGGCAAAGCAAAACCTTTGACATTTGTTGAAGCACGTCTTTTTATCCTAAAACTCCCTACAAGGAGCTGAGGGCAGGTGCACCCCACCTTAAGCCTGAGTCTAAAAAGAGTCATTCAGGAGGCAAGCGGGAAAAGTCTTTATCAAGCATTTGTAACCACAGTTTCGTGTGATCTTTTTTGTTCAGTTCTGGTAATTGCTTAAGGCCTACAGTAATTGAACTCTCTAATAGTGGAGTGACAACAGATCAGTAGCATTGAAGAATTAGGGAGAACCAAATACAAAAAAATCATAAAGTCAGAGTTCCAATAAGTTTACATTTAGTACAGAATTAAGACATAGCTACCCGTTAGTGCTTAGAATTTTTTGATACTATTAAAAACATAAATAATTATTTTTAATGTTCATTCAAAGAGTTCCAGTGTCACTGGCAGCTGATGTACTTTCGTGAACTTTATTTTTTTCCAAACTGGTAGTGGAGTATTTCCGCCACAGATTTTTGTCTCCCTACCAGTTGTTTTCTCTCTACCTGCTTGCTTAGAAATTTAGGTTTTTGCAGCAAGACTGCTGTGTTCTAGTCAGTGGAGATTTAACTTCCTTAAAAAAAAAAAAAAAAAAAAAGGCTTTATTTGAACAGGGCTCGGTGGTTTTGTTGTTGTAAAATGAGAAAGTGTCTTTTTCTTTTAAATTTCATGGGAGCTGCAATGCAATCAGCTTCTCTGATATGTATAACTTAAAACACTTACTAGGAGAACTCTGCAACACCCAGATTGTAGTTGAGGGGAAAAAAAAACAAAACAAAACAAAAAAGAGAGAGAGAGAAAGTTTCATGTGGTTGTCAACATCACCTTATCACCTTAATCTTAATCCTGTTGCCCTTGTTTCCAAAGCAGTTACAACAGCCAGCCAGCCAAAATGCACCATCCTTAGAAGTGTAAGTAGCGGGGAGGGAGTGGTTGCGGTGGTGTTGGTTGGGATTATTTTTCTCCAAAGAAGATTAGATGTGCAAAATGATGCTGTCGTCGTTTGTTGTACTCCACTCTTCTTCACTCGCGGTGATTTGTTTCTGTTCATTTGCACGTGATGCCGTTATTTGCAGGTGAACACCTCTGTCCTCTCGCTACACGTGTTGCACTTCACAAAGCAGCACCAGTGGAATTTGCAGTTACATTGCCACACCTTGGTGTACTGGTGTGTGTTGTACCCTCTTCCACAGCACATCATGTCGCACCCGTCCGCGTTGGGAGAGGTGCGGTTGCAGAGGCGTCCCTGGGTACCGACGCTCCCCGTGGAAGCATCTTCCTCACAGTAGTTGGGTGACTTTTCGATGTACACTAAATCCGTTTCCATGGGTTTCTGGTAACTCTTAATCTGCTTGATCTTCAGGAAGGTTGGCTGTCTTAGTCTACTGGCTCGTACCACCTCCACTTGCACTGCAGCATTGTATTTCTCTTTCAAAATATATCCAATCTCTCTGAATTTAGGAAGCGTGGTCCAGCAGGTCTTAGTTGTGCAGGAACCTGAAACTCCATGACACTTGCACTCCAATTTCATTCTCTCTTCGAGAACCTGTGTGTGCAGACATTTGCATATCGTTACTGCAGGAAAATGGTATTGCAACATTGCAAACTTGCCTAAATCCCAGTCTGTTTAGTTCATATGAATATTCATTACTACTGATAGAAATTTTTCAAAGGCATGCTTATGTATCTTCTCACCTCCCAGCAAGATACTCATACCATGTTTTGTTTTACATGGCACTTGGTCAGTAGCACAGTGTTTGTCATTTTATGGGAAAATATTTGCATTCTGTTTCCAAATATTGGAAAAGTTTTATTGAAATTTCAGAAGACATGTCTTTGAGACAAAGTAATTAATGGGATTCCAGTGACTTAAAAAAAAATAATTCAAGCCATTGTCATTTTGAAAAGAGAAAAAAAAAAAGGTTTTTTAAAGTATTTCAGGATTCAGAATATTAATGCTTAATTGCTTAATTGTAATGTTCAAAGAATGTTTAAAAAATTTTCACCAGCTTTAATATCACAGAGCTATATATGCTGTGTGGCTGAAGAGGCATTTTTGTTCACTACATAATTAAAAATTTTGCCTATACCAGCAGTGGCAATACCAGCATACCTATTAACTATTTAGCTCACAGATCATACCATCCCCTTTAGAAGCACCACTCCGCAGCATCTAGCCCAAGTATCAGGCAAATGTTCAGCCACAAATACTTTTTTTTGCACCAGAGCAACGACTGCACAACATTAGAGGTTCTAAAACCCACTGGAGAGTCCTGCTCAGCTGTGAGCCGAAGAGAAGTGAGAGTATTTATTATTGCTATTGCTAGAGGAGAGTCATCTAGAGGAGGTTACTCCAGGGTCAGATGGTCCCAAGGAGGGACCCAAACACTGGCGGGTGTTGGGGCTCACACTCTGCTCCTGACCTCCTGCCTCCGCCACAGCCAAGATGCCCAAAGGCTGGAACATCCCTCCTTCCCTGGACATGGGGTGTGCTTGGGGGGGACAGCAAGGACATACCCCTGTGTGCCGTGCAGGGGAAACTGGCCTCTCTGTTTTTCTGCCCTCGTGCTACCACTTAAGCCTGACCACAATTACACCCCCAGTCATCATTAGCTTATGAAAATCAAGGCCTAAGAACAAAGCCAACTGATCCTTTCCCCTTCGCAATGGGATGCTACCAAAGAAATATGAGCTACTGAGCTTGTCTTAAAGCATTACTGATGCTGCCGACCACCTCCTGTAGTGGTTTCGTTGCAGATCCCAGAACATGACTGAAATGGGCAACGCATAAAAGGGCTGAAATCTGAGTCCAATGGCATAATGAAGTGGAAGGGAAGTAAAAAAAGACTTACTGCTTAAGAAACTGGCTTTAAAATAAAAGCTGTACACATCTGGTTATCCCTGCAAATAGAGGGCATCCTCCTGAGTTGAGTTTCACTTAAATTGTGTTTCAGTATTAAAGAGAATATTTGGGTTTGATTCTCCCTTGCCCACATACAGTAGCGAGTACAAGGTAGCTGAGCACCCTAGTCAAAAATACCTGAGACCTTCTAGAGCCACAGGCTTTTTCCAGTTCAAGGTCAAGTTAGCCTTTCAGAAGCAGAAAAGGTGATTTCCAGGAAGGTTTACTGGGTTAGGGAAGAAGATCCTATAGCTGCAACTACCCTAAAAAGAAAATCAGCAAGGCTATGATGAGCAGCTTTTGATGGACACTGGAAAGGCCCCTGCTCTCCAGCAAGCTGTATAGCCTTCCTGTCTTCCCTATGGAAAAAAGAGAAGCCAGAAAACTTGCCACTTTCTGCTGTAGCAACAGCATTTCAGTGGCAGTGAGTAGAGGAATTCCTTAGGCAATACTCCAGGGTCCTTCAGGATTCCTCTGTGTCTGCTTTGTGCCTGTGCAGAAGGATGTGATTTTTCAAAGACCCCCAAACAAGACTCAAATCCTGCTCCACAAATCTGTGCTGAAATAATCTATTGGTAGTTAGAAGTGTATGTAGATATCTAAATTTTGCTTGGTACTGCTGAAATATGTTTGGGTTTTTTTTAAACTACCCTGTTTCTTACAGCTCTCTCAGCAATGCATTGACATACAGTTGTGGCCACAAGAACTGCAGCAAAATCCATGGCAAAAGATAGATGGAGACAACCTTCACCAAAGAGCACTACGATCTAAGGACTTCCAGGAAAGCATTACCAGTGGGTAGTAAACCTTGGTGAAGAGCAGGTTTGTGGTTTAATACATGTTTTGTCAGGTTCTGCATGTGTTTGTGATGCCTGTTTTTCAGTTTGAAAAGACCAAGTCAGTAACTTGCTCAGAGAGTAGGACCGGTGAAGCTTGTAAGGCTCCTTAGCCTTGTGTGGGCTCAAGACTCTGGAGACTGTTCCAAGGATCCTCCATCTCTCTGGTGGACATGTTTCCCTGATACAACAGGAAGCGTCGTTTTTCCTGAGAAAAACAAGGTATCACCCATTCTGGTGTCCTAGGTGATATCTTTGTATATATATATATTTATATACGGATGTGTGTATGCCCGTATGTATATGTTAGGCTGAGGGGAGACCTTATCTATGTTTAAAAGTACCTAAAGGGTGCATTAAATAGACCTTATCTATGTTTAAAAGTACCTAAAGAGTGCATTAAACGAGGATGGAGCCGGACTCTTCTCTGTGGTTCCCAGGGACAGGACGAGGGGCAACGGGCACAAGCTGGACCATGGGAAGTTCCACTCAAATCTGAGGAAGAACTTGTTTGGGGTGAGGGTGGCAGAGCCCTGGCAGAGGCTGCCCAGGGAGGGTGTGGAGTCCCCTTCTCTGGAGATCTTCAAGCCCCGCCTGGATGCTCCTGAGTGATGTGCTCTGGGCAACCCTGCTTTGGCAGGGGAGTTGGACTGGATGGGCTCTAGAGGTCCCTTCCAACTCTGACAATTCCGTGATTCCGTGATGTATGTTTGCCTGTGTGGTTTTGCCTTCGCTTGAGATGCTGCCATTTATACACAGCACTGCCTGACATCCTCTCTAGTACAATCTCCAGTCACTTTATCCCAACTCTTGATTTCTTTTTTTTTTGTTGTTGCTGTCTTTCTGAAGGTCTAGTTTGGTGAGTCATTTTGCTGTACAGAAATCTGATTTCACTGCTGTACTTTTCCAAAGGCTCCCAGTGTTTTTATGATGGTGGAAGAACTTGCAAATGCAAGCCACGCAGGCTCAAAAAAGCAGAAGTTTCAAAAATTATTAATTCCTGATCCTGAAGCCAACCTCACAGCTTTTTTTTATTTTTTTGGAGGCTTCTCTCATGAATGTGGAATGCTTGGGGTTACAACACTGAGCGCAGGCCCAATCATCAGGTAGTTAAATTCCTGAATGCTATAATTTGTGTGCCCACAGTCAGCTGTGGGTATAAAATTGTGCCCAGAAACTTGGAGGTCAGGGAATACAAGGTCCAAATTAAGCAGATTCTAAGCAAGTTTTTTTTTTTTTCCCCTCTTTCCACCCAGAAGCTGTGGAGTGTTCCTCTTTGCTGACGAGCCAGCACGCTCCAGCTTTCCCAGAGGTATGTCTGTCTGCAAGGTATCTCGAGCAGCTTCCCGCTTGCCAACAAGGTGCCACTGGACCTGGAAAAGGTTACAGGATTTGACCCTGTTGGTTCAATGCTGTGAATGAAGAGTGAAGAAGGTTTTTCTTCCTAAAGCGTCCCTCCAGCTCGGTTTTCCTCGGCAAAATTTCCATCAAAGCATTGACCCTGAGCCTTAAAGGTACTTATTTACTCAATCTAATACACCACGCCAAGCTAGGTGCCTGATTAAAGATTGAAAATCATTAGCTCGTCCGACCCACTCTCTCAGCAGTTTCATTTGTCATATGTCAGTGCCTCGTATCTAATCTTGAATGGTTTACAGCAAGATCTACCTCCCGGAGCAAATTCCCATCGTTGGACTGTGCTGCCTCAGACTAATCATAGGAACATTCCTTAGGTCCCTTTTCCACATACAGGCCCTCTCCCACCCTGGTATGGTCTTGCCAAGTAAAATTTTCTAACTACTGCTACTTTGTTAAATGAATTGTGAAATATAATGTTAAAGCTTTCTTATCCCACATATTTTTATACCTATATAAATCATGCACTGAAAATGCAATATGAGGGTTGTCCGTTGCCAGTTAAGTAGAAAAAGACTTGCGAAGATTGAAATAAAACAGAATGATACACATGAAAAGAAATTAATCTTTTCAAGTTCCATATCTAGACCCAACTGCTTAACATCAGATCCAGTTTCTATACATATTAAAAATCCTATCTGGATAAAATATGTAAAAACAATAGTAACATTTTGTGTGTGTTTGTTTTGGCTTGCCTTTTGTGGTTTGTGTTTTCTTTAGTGGAAATGCACATTTTTGGAGCAGATGTTGAATGTAACAAAATCCCTATTACTTTTTGACTGCAGTATCAAAAAGAAAGAGAAGTCTTTAGGAGTTTCCCCCCCATCAAATATGCAAGGGATCAACTTTTGTTTTGGGTAATACCAGTACCAGAAGACATGGATTCTGGTCATAAGATGTCTCCACCCCTTTGATGCTTGAGTGACTGCAGCCATGAGAGCTGATGGTTTGGCAATGATGCGTGGACAATGCCTGGGGTAAGTCTGGGATCCACTCTTGCTGTCAAAATGCTGATCTCAGGCACCCATCTGAGGAAGAACGTTGTATTTGTTTGGGTTTGGCTTTTTAACTCAGATAGCCAGAGGTGTCACTAACATCAGTAGGGTGTAATGCTACTCCTCTAATACAAATGTCCTGAAAATACTCTTCATTAATAGAAGATCATGGAGCCCAAAATTGAGCAGTTCATGTCATGTCTCCTCAGGTTGTGTCCAGCTCTGTGAAGACAGGCAGCCAACAGGAGAGGCATATGGGTCCTTCAGCTGCATATTTTTATTTCTGCTCCTCTGTGAGGCTCTCCATCAAGCATCAAAACAGTGTTTATACTCTGTGGGCTCCTCTTCTCTGTGAGATGAGGAACTGAGTTACTGTGCTTACTTCCTTTCTTGTCAC